ACCGCGGTCACGGCTGGAAGTCACCCTGGCAGGCATTGAGATCACGGCTGGAAGTCATGTGGTGGGTCACAGCTAGAGGTCACCCTGGTGGTCACTGCGATCACGGCTGGAGGCCACCCTGGCAGGTCACTGAGATCACTGTTAGGGGTCATGCTGGTGGTACGCTTCTGTGATCAGAGGGGCACTCTGGGCCCCTGCTACTGATGGACTGGGAACCCACCAGCAGCCCAGAGGAGGCCTCAGCACAGCTTTTGTCAGCCCAGCTGCTCTCATCCGGGCCCTTCTAGGTGCCACAGCCTTGGTCTTGCACTCCACAGCCGCTTGTCAGCCCGGCTGCTCTCATCTGGGCCCTTCTAGGCGCCACAGCCTTGGTCTTGCACTCCACAGCCGCTTGTCAGCCCGGCTGCTCTCATCCGGGCCCTTCTAGGCGCCACAGCCTTGGTCTTGCACTCCACAGCCGCTTGTCAGCCCAGCTGCTCTCATCCAGGCCCTTCTAGGCGCCACAGCCTTGGTCTTGCACCCCAGTTTTCTGCATTCTCCTGGAGTGACCTCGGGAAATTATGGCTGGTTTAAATCAGAGCTGTTGACTTGCTGTGTGACTCGGTGCCAGCGGGACAGGCCTGGCAGAGGAGGTCGGTGTGGCCCTCCAGCTTTTGCCATGCGCGTACAGGAAGTCGTAGTTGTCTCAAAGAGGACCCACAGTTCTAAAGCAATTGTCGGAGGTTAGCGGAAGATCGTTTCTCTGGAAATGACTATAGAGAAAAATGTCATTTCTGGTGGAAACGTGGCTTGACTAAGTTACTCACGAAAAAAAAATGAAAGGATCTTTGCCATTTCATTTAAGATTCTGTCAACCCTGTCAGTCCTGAGAGCTGAGCAGTCCTCCAGCTCCCACTGGAGCCGTGAACATGTGGCCACATCATAAATGAGTATGGCCGTGTCCTGCTGTAAGTGGGCATTGGGCAGCTCCAAGGAGCGGGAGGGCAAAGCCCTTGGCAGCGCAGCCTGGCCACGGCGGGCAAGGGGTCCCGGCACTGGGGTCCGAATGCAGGACCCCCGCAGTGTGTCCCCAACCCCAGACAGGCCCTTGCTGGGCTATTTTGTTGCTCAGTAGAAGTGCCTTTTCTCTGCAGTTTAAAACAGTAACAACACAATCTCAATTCCTGGGACATACCTTTGATTTAGATGCCAGTAATTCTCAATGAAACCTTTCAGTGAGTTGCAGATTCGAGGGTGACCTTGGGTTTGCCTGAACGGTGCCTGCTGCCTTGAGCGTCCTGCAGGACTTCCCACTCAGCTGAGGCCTGGTCAAGACTGTATCGTGGTCACCTGTCCTGGGGGCGTTGGCTTTGTGCCAGTCTGTGCTGGTCATTGGATCTCACCTGAACGAGCGGGGCATGGTCCATCATTGTGACATCCGGGTCTGGCCTGAGGGTTGAAGCTGATCTTGACCCAGGGAGGGAGCACAGTGGTGCCTGTCACCACTGAAACACCGGTCTGCAGGTGACGTGGGTGCCCGCATTTCTTTTTTTTTTTTTTTTGAGAAGGAGTCTTGCTCTGTCACTAGGGCTGGAGTGCAATGGTGCAATCTCGGCTCACTGCAACCTCTGCCTCCCGGGTTCAAGCGATTCTCCTCTCAGCCTCCCAAGTAGCTGGGACTACAGGCATGTGCCACCACACCCTGCTAATTTTTTTGTATTTTTAGTAGAAACGGGTTTCACCATGTTAGGCGGGATAGTCTCTATCTTCTGACCCTGAGATCCACCTGCCTTGGCCTCCCAGAGTGCTGGGATTACAGGCATGACCCCCCACAACCAGCTGGGTGACCTTGTTTCTAGGCATAGGACAGAGCCATCCAGGGTGGCCAGGCTGGGCCGGCCAGCTGCACTGGGCCCTGTCCACTGGAAAGGGTGGCCTTGGGGCCTGGCTGGTGTCCACGCCCCAGCTCTTGTCCACCCTCCAGGGTCTGTTCTGATGCTGTCTGGACTGTACCCCTCCTGAAGGGTGGCCAGGCCTGTGGCTACCTGTTGGCTTCCGTCTTGGTTTCCCCCTGGGTCACCCCTGCTTCACCCCCACTTCACTCCTGCAGCTGGACAGGGTCACACCAGTGTGGCTGCTCAGGCCCATGGTTGAGGGGAGGGCTGGGGCATCCGTTAGAAACGCACAGAGACACCTGATGTCCCATAGATCAGGGTGGCGTTGGTTTTGAACTGGCGGAAAAGCACGTTGGGCCTCACAAAATGTGACCCAATCTGGGCAGATGTGAGGGGAAGGAGGTGTCGCCCTCCACACCTTCAGAAGCAGAGTTAGTGGATGTTTCAGAAACAACTTTTTTCCCATTCACGTATGTCAGAGCCCCACAGTAGCCTAAACCACAAGGTTGCCAAGCCCCATTATGTGTGTGCACACACCTCTGCATGTGTGTACATGTGTGCGTGTATATGGGGGCATGTATGTACATGTGTATGTGTGTGTCTGTGGGGGCATGTGTGTATATGAGTGTGAGTGTGGGGAGGCATGTGTGTGGTGTGTGCCTGCATGTTTGTCATGTGTGCCTGTGTGTGTGTCGTGTGTGCCTGCATGTTGTGTGCTGGCGTGTATGTGGTGTGTGCCTGCGTGTGTGTACCTGCATGTGTGTGGTGTGTGCCTGTGTGTGTGTGGTGTGAGGTCCTGTGGTTCCTTTGAGGATCCTGCTTGTACTCTAAGCACACCTGCGGGTCCCCCGGGGGCTGAAGCATTGAGCTTTCTGCTCCACAGAACCCCTCTTCTGTGGAGAAGAGCTTGGGGAGGTGGGTTGGAAGAGGACATGACCCTGGGCAGGAGAGCAGGTGGCAGGCTTGGGAGGCACCCACGGTGGGAACTGGCAGGTTTGCTGACAGTTGGGGGTGGGATGTTGGGAAGGATGGGAGCCAGAGCAGCAGCTCTGGCTGAGAGGGGCGGTTTCCCAGGAGCGGGGCTGCTGTGGAGAGCTCTGCTGGGACAGATGAGACGTGAAATGCCCCTTGCATGGCTGTATTCCTCAGGTCCTGGCAGGAAGCAGATGACGCCCAGGGCATGGCTGAGAGGTCACCCAGGGGCTGTTTCTTGAAGTAGGCAGGGGAGGTGGGAGAGCTGGGGCCAATGGGGGCACAGCTGACTCCATACTGCGTCTGTAGGGACGAGGAGGGTGTCTGTTAGGAGAGATGGGGCGTGGAGAACGGGGCCACCTCCCAACGGAAATGAGGACTGCAGATGGAGCTCCTGGGCCTAGCAGTGGGTGTCCATGTGGTCATGGTCCCTGTGTCCTACTGTGGCCACCCACTGGACCCAAGAGAAGCCAGAGAGTAGGGGTCCTGGAGAGGCAGCTTCACAGGCTAGCCCCTGGCACGCAGGACACAGGACCCTCAGTCACCATGGCCTGGTCCCCGGAGCTCCAGAGAGAGGGCTGGGCCAGTGATGAGAGCTAGCATCTGATGGCCTTGGAGGCCCAGAAAGGATCAGAGGGAAGAGGGCAGGGGCTGTGGGTGCACCCCAGAATTGTGAGGCCAGAAGATGGGGGCTGTGGGGAGCATGGGGCAGCCAGGTGAACGGGAGCCCTGAGCCACGAGAGCAGTCTCACAGGGGCTTAACTGCTACAAAGGGGTCAGGAGTCCAGCTGGGTGGGGGCATCAGAGCCCCGAGACGGCGGGGAAGGGGGCCAGGGTGCCACTGTAGACCCAGGGCAAATCTAGATTTCAGCCACTTTCTCACCCCGTGAATGGACTCTGAGAACCCACCACACGCCAGCCTGTGGATGGTTAACTGTGGACAAAGGTTTAAGCATCTGGATGAAGACGAACGGCCTAGAGTCAGTCCCCATGTTCCCCAGAACCTAGAGCTCAGGCATCACCCAGGGCTCAGCAGCTCAGATTTGTTTCCCGGTTTGCTGAGAACATCATGGGACTCAAGTGTAGCTCCTGCGTGTGGGTGAGGACGCAGGGAACGGGGCGGGAGCTGCCTGAGGACACCGCAGGGTGTGGCCCCATCCCCACTCTGTGCAGCCCCACCTACTCCTCGTGGGGCTGTGTCTGAGGGGAAGAGTGCCCCCTTTCCTTGTGGGTTCACCTGGGCAGTGACGGTCTTGCCTCCCTGTGTGGCCTGATCCTGGATTAGGTGCACAGACTTCCGTGGAAGTCTTCCGTGACTGTGTCTGCGGTCTCACTTTCCAGACTGGGTGTCCCCTCTGAGGGTTCTCCTGCGGATCCCACAGCCCAGGTTTGATTGCAGGTTTTAGTAGCAGTGTTAAGGGGTAATTCCATAATAGAGGATAACCCCCAAGTTTCAGAAAAATCTTCCCCAAATGCACATTCAGGTGTGAGTGTGTACATGGCGGGAGATCCCCTCCAAATGCACATTCAGGTGTGAGCGTGTGCATTGTGGAACCCACCCTCCAAATGCGCATTCAGGTGTGAGTGTGTGCATTGTGGAAGCCGCCCTCCAAATGCGCATTCCGTTGTGAGCGTGTGCATTGTGGAAGCCGCCCTCCAAATGCGCATTCCGTTGTGAGTGTGTGCATTGTGGAAGCCGCCCTCCAAATGCGCATTCAGGTGTGAGCGTGTGCATTGTGGAACCCGCCCTCCAGATGCGCATTCAGGTGTGAACGTGTGCATTGTGGAACCCGCCCTCCAAATGCTCATTCAGGTGTGAGCATGTGCATTGTGGAAGCCACCCTCCAAATGCGCATTCAGGTGTGAGCGTGTGCTTTGTGGAAGCCACCCTCCAAATGCGCATTCAGGTGTGAGCGTGTGCATTGTGGAAGCCGCCCTCCAAATGCGCATTCAGGTGTGAGCGTGTGCATTGTGGAAGCCGCCCTCCAAATGCGCATTCAGGTGTGAGCGTGTGCATTGTGGAAGCCGCCCTCCAAATGCGCATTCAGGTGTGAGCGTGTGCATTGTGGAAGCCGCCCTCCAAATGCACATTCTGTTGTGAGCGTGTGCATGGCCGGAGCTCCTGCCACACTCGTTCTCACTGTTATTTTTCAGGTCAGCAAAGTGGAACGTGAGAAGAACCAGGAGCTGAGGCAGGTGCGCGAGCATGAGCAGCACAAGACCGCGGTCCTGCTCACGGAGCTGAAGACGAAGCTGCACGAGGAGAAGATGAAGGAGCTGCAGGCCGTGCGTGAGGCGCTGCTTCGGCAGCACGAGGCTGAGCTGCTCAGGGTCATCAAGATCAAGGACAATGAGAACCAGCGGCTGCAGGCGCTGCTCAGTGCCCTGCGGGACGGTGGCCCCGACAAGGTCAAGACCGTGCTGCTGTCCGAGGCCAAGGAGGAGGCCAAGAAGGGCTTCGAGGTGGAGAAGGTCAAGATGCAGCAGGAGATCTCTGAGCTCAAGGGTGCCAAGAGGCAGGTGGAGGAGGCGCTGACGCTGGTGATCCGGGCGGACAAGATCAAGGCGGCAGAGATCCGCAGCGTGTACCACCTGCACCAGGAGGAGATCAGCCGCATCAAGAAGGAGTGCGAACGGGAGATCCGCAGGCTGGTACGTGGGCGGGCGTGGGCACGGGGCGGGTGTGGGGCACAGGGATGGGCAGGGGGCAAGGGGGCGGGTGTGGGCTCAGGAGCACACGGGCAGCACCTGGGTGGCTCTGGCTTCACCTCCCACAGCACTCTCAGCACAGGCTCCTCATGCCACCCCTGTTGGTTTTGAGGACCCCAAATTCATGAGACCACTTGAAAAGGTTCAGACGCACTGTCAGCCCCACAGGGCAGACCAGACTCCCACCTCCCCTTCTCATCAAGCACCAGCTCTACTTCCTTTTGTAACTTGCACCAGAGCAAGAAACCTACAAGTTAGTACCACCCATCCCCACTGCAGGGTTCACCGATGCCTCCTCTTAGTGTCCGGGTCACACCTGACGCAAGGCGGGGCTCAGTGTTTCACGGCAGGAGTTCCACACGTCCTCACAGGGGGACTCAGGGAATTCTCTGGTGATTCTCCAGTTGAACTCACTGGATCCAGAGAGGGGAGACCAGGAGGCAGCAGTGCGGGGTGGGGGCAGTGATGGCCCCCACCGCCCTGAGGCGCCCATTTCTGCCAAAGCATTGCACTTGAGGTGGAGCAGAGGAGCTGCCAGTTTTGTGGGTCGGTAAGGTCTAACACTGGCACCTGCACCTGCTGCATCCTGATAGCTCCAAAGACCCAGGCACCCCATGCCAGGCACCAGGGAAGTCTGTGTTCTCAAAGACCCAGTGTTCAGCTGAAGAGAATGTCCAGAGACTGCAAGGGACTGATTGCACCCGATGCCCCTTGTCCTTTGGAGTGGAGACCGTCCCATGATTTTGGGGGAATGGCACTCTGAGAGGTGTGCACCCCAGCCCTATGCCTCATCAGGACCCGGATTCCCAGGCACCTTGGTGGGATGCAGTGGTCTTGCCACATGTGTCGCCGGGCACCTGGGGCAGCTCCCTCTGCCTGAGTCCTGGGGTCCCTGGTCTCCAGGGATGGCCTCCAGGCTGTGCCAGCACGTGTACTCCCAGAGACGGGCAGCCACTCTCTGCGCCCACAGCCAGGAAGGGAGAGCCGGCCACTGTGGGGTAACTTTGACCTTGCCGTGGCATACACACAGGTGCCCCCAAACGTGCCTTTCCAAAGTGGTCCTTGTTCCAACCTCCCCTACACCCCTTTCCCCTGTCCCGAGCCATCCCTGGTAAGAACCGGGCACTCTCCTGGAATGCCACAGTGCTTGCTTTTCTGTGTGGGGAGGAAGGAAGTGGCTGCTGCCGTCCTGGGAAGGTGGGAGGGACAGGCGGTTGCCACTGCCCAGTGCCACGTGGCCCTTTCACGTGTCTGGTTGGATTTGATGTTCTCAGTAGAGGAAGACAGCTTTCTCCTTAAGTAAAGGCTGGTAACAAACAGAAACCAGCGGTTCCCCGCCGTCTCCTCTCAGCCATGATGTGAGCCCCCGAGGCAGCTGCTGGCAACTCCTCGAGCTGATTCCTCTGGGTTTTATTGCAGGTTTTCGAAAGCAGCCTCCAGCCTGTTTCTTCACTCCCATCCCCACCTGACCTCTCTGCAGGCAGGGGCAGGCAGACCCTAAAACTCAGAGCGCAACACAGGCGTTTTCCCCGTTCTGTGGGTTTTCCTTTCTCAACTCAAGGGCATCATGTTATGGTCTAAGGTCTTATTTTAAAGTAAATCAGTCTAATGTGTTCTCTCTCCCTTTAGGCTGGGTACTCACTGTGTCTTGTTTAGGAAATCTTTTGATCCTGAAGTCACGAAGCTTCATCTTTAAACCTTCGATAGTTTTGTCTTGCGTACTTAGTCCGTAGCAGCCCTTCCTTAAAAGGTCGCCCCCACCCACAGCGCCTCTGCCGGATCCACATGTCCTCACGGGAGTGGGCTTCCTGGCGTGTCTGATCGTCACTCCCTCCTCCACCCTACTTTTTGGAAATGATCCTCGCTCTGTAAAAAGCCCTCATTTCTGGCATAGCACCTTCTCCCACCTTGTTCGCCTTCAAGAATGACCTGCCTCTTCTTGGCCCTCTATAACTCCACATAAATTTCAGAATCATCTTTTCTCTAGATAAGAAAACTTAAAACTGGGGGATTTTTAACCAAACCATTCAAGGATAAATGTTAACGGAGAGTATAATGATTCTCATACAGATATGCAGCGAATACATGCCAAAGATTTCCTTAGCTCATTAATTAATGAGGAAACAAGATTTACAACCAATTCAAACGAGGGTTTGACCCACAGAGTCACGCTCCCTGCCTGACAAAAGCCATCGGCATTCCCATGAGCAGAGTCACCTCCATCTGTGCCCAGGAGAGGAGTGCTTTGCTCACACCCTTCTCCAAGTTTAACTTTCTTTCCGTGGAGTCATAGAACAGCTGAGTCAGGGATGAAGGCACAGGCCGCAGGGCTCAGCTCGTCCCCAGGGCCCTGGCATTCTAATGCAAGGACAGTCAGAATCTTCTCTGGCCTGTTTCAAAGTCTTTGGTTTTCCCTACAGAATCCATAGATTTGGGACCTTGCCTTTATTTATCGTTTCTATGTTTAAACACAGAGACGCCCTTTAGGTGGTGAGACCAGGGCTGCCCGTGAGAGCCCCACCACCAACATCCAGGACCTCGGGCCTGCCTGGGTCCTGTGGGGGCGGGTTGGCTGGGGGCGCACCTCCCATGCGCGGCGACTCAGCCCTTCCCCCAGGCCTGGCTGTTGGAGCCCAGTCTGGTCCACACAGCTGCTGGGATGCCCTTCCTCACGAGGGGCACTGCTCCTGTCAGTTCACCCTCGGCGCCCATCCCAGAGCCCAGACATCTATCTGTCTAGATCCTGGTTTTGTGCAATTTAAATGAAATAATGAAAATCCCAGGGAGTACTTGGCTGGGCACACCCAGAGCACAGGAGGTGCCCTGAGGGCGATAGCTGTGGCGATAGAGCTTCTGGTGGCACCAGGAATCCAGCCAGCAGGACCCTTTCTTCCTGGGCACCCCGTCCCAGTGGGGCTTTCTTGCAGAACTGACAAGGGCGGCAGAACCTCAAATCTTCTCCTTTAAGGCCGTCATTTATGAGAGAGGTGACGTGAGGGGCAGCTCCCCAGGCCCGGCCGTGAGGGAGAGTCTGGAGTTCAGTCCCCGGGCCCGACCGTGAGGGAGAGTCTGGAGTTCAGTCCCCGGGCCCGACCGTGAGGGAGAGTATGGAGTTCAGTCCCCGGGCCCGGCCGTGAGGGAGAGTCTGGAGTTCAGTCCCCGGGCCCGGCCGTGAGGGAGAGTATGGAGTTCAGTCCCCGGGCCCGGCCGTGAGGGAGAGTATGGAGTTCAGTCCCCAGGCCTGGCCATGAGGGAGAGTCTGGAGTTCAGGCGTGAGGTGGAGGGGCAGGGAGAGCCGGGCAGGTGTGCGGCCACTCCAGCTGCAGGGACTGTGGCACAGCGTGGCGTCTAGCCTTGGGTCGAGGAGCAACTTCGTGAGGATGGAGAGGCCTGGGGTGGAAGCTGCCCAGAGAGAGCCTTGAAATAGGGCTGGAGCAGAAAAGTGAGAGGAAGGAGACCCAGCCCCAGAGGACTGGGGACGTCTGAGGACTGGGTCTGGCTGAGAGAAGAGGCAGGCTGGGTGAGTGGGGGGGTCCAGAGGCAGGGCCCTGCCCCGAGTGTCAGCAGAGCCAGTGGGCTGGAGGTGTAAGGCACTGCTGGGCCTTTGGCGAGGGGCAGGACAGTGGTCTCCTGGGCCTGGCAGGAGCTGCAGGCTACAGGAATGTCCTTCCCAGGTTCCAGGGCAGCTGCCAGCCCAGCTTACAAGGCCCCAGCAAGGCTGGGCAGGCCGCGGAGGCCTCGGGGTCTCCCAGTAAGAGACCTCAGCGACTATCATGGCTGAAAATACTGCACAGCATTGGTCCCTAACATCGGGTGAACATTTTGCTGTTTCTGTGGCCAAAGCACCAGCTGGTACCCACGTCTCAGAACATCCTGGTGTGAGATGCTCGGCCTGGCTGGGCTCTGGGGGAGGACACAGCGGGTCAGGGAGCGCTAGCTTCTGGGAGGAATCAGTCTTTGCTGACAGTCAGACACTGCTCCCTCGCAAGCCGTCCCATGCTGGCTCCCGCCCCGGGGTGTGGGCACATGGCTGTGGCCCCAGGAGGGTGATGTCTGAGTCCTGGGGAGGGGCACTGTGGATGGGGCCAGCCAGACCAGGACGCTGTGGGAGCTGGGCTTTCCGTGCCTCCCACGTCTACTAATGACCACAGCTGTGGCCACAGCCCCGGCAAGGGTGTGCTCTGTGGGCGCAGCCCCCATGGGTGGAACCCGTCCCACCACGGTCCACCCCGAGGACAGTCACGTCTGGCAGGGCTGGTGAGGGAGGGAGGGTCTGAGAGAGTCCTGGGTGTTCAGCACACACCAAGGACCACCCTCTGCTCTTCCCAAAATGCGCCGCGTGCCTCCAGGTTCTCCCTCCCTGGCTCTGGCCAGCAAAGCCTCCTGTCTTTACCTTGGGTTTGCTTCGTTCACTACTCAGTCCCCAGCACCTGGGATAGGTTTTTGATAAACGTGTGTTGGCTGGATTTCAACAAGATGAAGCCCGTTCCCACAAAGGCCCAGAGTCAGAGGCTGCCTCATCCCCTGGTCGGCTCCCTGGCTGTTGGGGGCCCCCTGCCCTGGCACCCCAGCCTTGGCCCAGGCACCAGCCTGACTGTAGGTCTTCTGGGCCAAGGCTCCTGGGTGCCAAGGGGAGGCTGTTGCCATCTCAGGGACCCACTGGGCACCTTGGCCAGCCCTGGATGGGGAGAGATGGGAGGAGCCACACAGCAGGGCTGGACCTGGGCAGGGGCGGAAGCCCAGGTGTGCAGGGCCACAGCTGCTCTTGGAGTGTGGAAGCTTTAACAGGCAAGCCCCCCATCTTGTCCTGGAACCCTAAGTGCAGGCCTGGAAGTGTGGCACCTGGTGGTACTCAGAGTCTCAGAGGGGAAGCCGGGTAGAGGGAACACGGGAGGGACGTGCAGGGCGGGGCCATGGAGACAACAGAGGCTCCAGACAAGCAC